TATCCATTTTCTTTACCATTTTTCCCTGAATGGGGACGTGGGGGGTGACAGGAGCCTATCCCAGTGGTCAATGGGCGAGAGGCAGGGTACACCCTGGACAGTGTGCAAGTCCATCGCGGGGCCACACATAAAGACACACAAAGACAAACAACCACGCACACTCACTCCTATTGGAATGTCCAATCAACTTAACATGCAGGTTTTTGGACGGTGAGAGGAAGCCGTAGAACCCATGCAGACACAGGGAGAACATGCAAACTCAACCCAGAAAGGTCCTGGTACCTCCGGGGACTCGAACCAGAACCCTCATGCTGTGAGACGATGTTGCTAACCACCACACCACTGTGCATTGTGAAAGTGTGTGCTAAAAACCTTAAGTCTCTAAAGAGGAATTAATTTATTCTGATTAAATGTAGGCAAACCAGTCATTGTTTCAATTCTGTGATGGTCCAAGTAGAGGCAACTGGAACAGTCTGCGGAGAAAGACAAACTATTTCCACAGGTGGCCAAGTTTCGACTGGCTGTCCATACTTGGATTGCTGACGGCGAAACTTGTTTCCTGCTCAGAGAAAACGGATATGTACAATGTCTGTTTGTTTTTTTAAAGTCCGATGCTTTGCAACCAGATATTAGGAGGAACAAATAGGCCAGCTTTTGTCTGACTTTTAGTTAGACCTCTGGCAAACTAAACACTTCCATGTACAGCATCACATGCCTGCAGCTTCTCCACAATGAAAGTCTTCTTTTCAGTCCCCCTTTATTCATACCGACCGTCAGACTTCTGGCAAGGTCTTGGTCTCATTTCCAATGAATGGCTACATAAATGTGGATTTGGTGCCTCAGGAAGATGAAACAAAAAAGAAAATACAGCTGGAAAAATATTTCACTCAACTATTGAGACATTCCATGTCACATGTGGATTTACCTTGGCCTGGACCATGGTGACCCTCCAAAGTATCAATGAGTGGTCAGATGGGTAAACCACTACAACCCAATGACAAAAAACATAATAGAATAATGTTAGAATCCAAGTGGTGTTAATAGTAGCACCTGTAGTAATCAGTATCAGACGCTTTATTTGGGGTTTTTGGCTAGTCGAAACTATCAACCATTAACATATATATCAAAGAGCCATTAGAGATAATATTATATTATATCACTATTCTTCTGTTAAGTCTGCTACTGTAATTTGTGAATTTTCCCACTGCAGGACAATAAATGAAAATCAAATCCAATTTTATTAGAGGTTGTTAATATTATAGGTTGTGGTGAGAGACTGATGACTGTGTCTTGCTCAAGTATTATTCATTGTACGTAAGTTGGATTACTTTTTCTCACTTGCAGAATCACTGCTGTGCGATGGCTACAATTTATGTGAACAAGAACTTTTTCACAGGGCTCAAGAGAAGTAATGTAGTTCTTTAGAAATACAAGATTAAACAATACTTTATAGAAGCTGATTGCATAGGAATTTGGAAAATGTGTTTAGTTGGGTTATTCTTAACGGGGAGCTATCATTGAAAATGGATGGATGGATATTTTGTCACAAGTAGCTGAAAAGTAGATCCATTTAACCACGTTGTGTCCAGGGCTGTCCATTTTCCTGCTGCCCATGTAGGATGAACACATATCCAGTTAAACCTGTTATGCATCTGCATAGAATATATGTAACCCAGTTTCATCGATGACTCAGACACATCTCCAAAGAAAAGTGCAGAATTCATTCAGCAGTTATTTTGCGGTACACATTTAGTGAGTCCTTCCAGTATAAAAAAGGCATTCAAATCTAGTAGGAAAAGACAAACTTCATTATCTACATGAGCTGTTGATATTCAAACTTCTGTAACGTCTCAACAATTATTAATGATTTACTGCCACGAGGTGCGCATATAACAAAGATAAAAAGACTGTCATACCTCCCCCTGAAAAAAAAAAAAAGATCTCATACAATATCACACTTATCTTTGCAAGATCTGACCTCAAGAGAGTGACTTCAGAAAATGAATTTAAGCATTGTAAGAATCTGTGTAGGATGACTTGATGCCTAGTGGGTGAATTTGCTGGAGAAAAAAAAACCTGACACACAACCTTCTTCTGATGGTGAAGTATTAATTATGATTTTAAATTAAGTTAAAGACTCCCATCATACCAAAATCCAGATTATTCCTTTCTACATTACTATAGAGACATAGAGGAAATTTAATGCGGTCGTCTCTGAGTATGCAGACATAAATCTGCCATCTTGAGATAACAAAAACACTGAAAATTGAGCAAAGTTTTATTTAATTATGCAGTCCTTTGAGGATTTGATATATACTCGACATGATGTTCCTCATAATTGTTCATTATCTGATAAAACCATATTTTCTGCTAACCTGAGTGTGTTCACAACTTCACATTTGGAAAATGTCTCAGCCCCCCCACCCCCGATGACTGCTGAGTTGAACTGAGTTTATCTATTCTAAAACTGGAGAATCCATGCATTCCATCAGGAGTACATCAAACCAGGATAACAAAAGACAATCCTTTCTGGGAAAAATACTCAAGGCCTAAAGCCAAATATTTCTCCTATGGCTTTGGACAGGATGACTTCTTGCAGGGTACCTTCAATATTAATGGAAAATCCAAAATCCAAAACCTTTGCATTTGCTTTTAAAGAGTAATCATAAATTGGGTTAGAATACTTCTTGCGAGGTATCTTCGATATTAATATAAAAAAATCCAAAATCCAAAGCCTTTGCATTTGTTTTTAAAGAGTAATCATAAATGGGGTCAGAGTACTTAACATTTGAGTAAGGTACATTACTGACATTAGCAGAGCTAAGGAAACCTACCTACTGCTGTGTCCAGGTGTGTTCGTAAAAATAGTAAGACAAGAGAGAGATGGCTAGAATGTGTAAAACTAAACCCTTGTCCCACCAGTCACATATGCTCTTTCCACAGGGCTTCAACCCATTGAAACTACAGGGGTTTTGTCTGGCTATCATTTGACCAACATGTTGGTTGTGGGGGGAAGCTGAAGTATTTCTAACAACAAAATTTAACAAGCTTAGACAACTTAAACGCTCCCAGCGCTTTGGTTGAGGAGGACCCATTCACAGCTTTGCATGTTACGGAGCTTACCTGAAGTTTTCATATGTTTCTCTGCTCCAGTACACCTGATGTCCAGTGGCAGACGTGAAGATCTTGACAACATTTTGTCGGGCTCTAGTTAATCGAAATCAGGTGTGTTGAAGCAGAGAAACTCCTAAAACCTGGAGTTTGAGATCCATGCTCCATTGGTTTGTGATATAATTCAAACAACACCATTGTGCATTTACAAAAGTAACTGAAAAACAATGAGAATCTACTGATATTACTAATAGCAAACAAACATTGAAAGGCATATCTAGTGAAGGACACCATCAACTTTGAATTTTTTTTTCAATTTATCACTTTGAGTATCGTAAAAGAACACATGAAAGCAGGATCCAGGTGACAGACACAAATGGGTTTTGTGCATCAGTACCAGATGATTTATGACGTTTAAATACATGGAGTGCAAAAAAGTGGCTGCATTTGACTTTTTTTTTTCACATGACAACAAAATACTTTACAAAACAGAGCTATCATGTGCAAAAACATTGAATGTAGGGTCATGAGGAGGGGGTTTCTTTTGTGCAAAGCATTACAATTTGAGTTTTGTTATGGTTTCCCCCACCGGTTCCCACAGAGTGACCCATTGGTCAGGGGGGGCTTTTTGGGCAGACAGGAGGGTCATGTTGCGGGCACTTAGGCTGGTGAATTGCCAACGATTTAACTCTGCGGCCAAAATAAAACTTGGAAGTTTGTTGTTAGGGCAAAAGCATATCCTGGTTCACAGAGGGACATTTTGTCATTCAAAGAGACACACAAACACAAACTCGTAAAGGAAAAGCAAAGCAGGGGAAGTTAAACATTGGATGCCCAAAACACCAGGGAAAAACAGAAAACTGACACAGAGACTCAAGGGAGAATATTCTTAGGGAGGCCAACATGGGGAGATGCTTAGCTGGTCTCATGCAGTAACAGCGAACAGTTCTCAGTATATGGACAGTTTCTGGTAACCATTTCAATCTGAAGAAAATCTGTCATTTCACAGATAATATCAAACTGATATCTATGTGAAAATTCAATGGTTTGGTTATAAGTGCTCTGATTATTGTGTGTAGAATAATTGGCGATTGAATAATCTATTGAAAGAATATAAAAAAAAGAATAATTGGCTGCAGCGTCATTAACTCGTCCCAGTCTATTTATGTCTGCTTGTTCTGTGTGTTAAAGCCTTAATGAATGGATTTTTTAGTTGTAGTCTGTGGCATTACCTGGTGAATGTTGGAAAATCATTATTTCTGGGGCTGAAATCCAATTCTGACTAAGTCACCTTAATGAAAGTCATTGTTGCCATCATCTTGCTGATACAAGAGGAAGATGAGTAAGTTATCTTTTAAGTTAGATGCTTGTTAACTTATCTAGAGGGCTGTTGACCCACTTCACTTCTTTTCTTTCTTGGACTCATTAACACAGCCCCTTTGAGACCAAAATGAGTTATGTCAAATGTGTCTAAGGGCAGAAACAAACCTTAGCACAATAAACAGCTGTGGGGCATGTTAATGCACAACAATCAGTAACAACTCATAAGACAGGCATGAAACCAAGAATAGCTCACGTATCATCGTAAAACAGGCACAAGACACATCATGTGTGAACTGAAGTGCTTTGCAAACCAAACCGATACAAGATCTGATTCAAAATGACATGTAAAGATCTCTTCTGACCGTGTGGAGGGACTCAGTGTGCCCTTGCAAGATCATAAGCCGTGGACGAGATGGATCAAAATTTGATTGTATGATGTTTTACTTTGCAAGAGTGAGAGGGAATCTGATTTTGATATATTTGGCTGCGTGAGTGAGTGTGGGACAATTGGATTAGCAATCTCTTAGGTTTTGTTTGATATGTAACATCAGTCTCCTTTGTGAAACTCGACGCCTTGTTGCCGTCAGCTCAGCCTCCATTGACTGCTCCTCTGGGAGAGCGGGTCCAGGAGCGGTTGGAGGTTTGGACATATCGGCTGTAAAACACATTTGCCTGTTGGCCGCAATGCGTCCTCAAAGCTGGTGTATCATATCAAGCTTTTGGCCTGCAGGTCCTCTCCAGGCTTTTTGTTAACAAGGGGGGCATCATTTCCAGATTTAAAACACCATCCCCATGGAGAACCTGATATGGACTGTTTCCTCCCGGAAGGGAATATAAACATCAGCATCATGGCCTCACCTCCGGAACGATTACCACACATGTACAGCACATATATATCGTAAAGGCCAGTGATCAATTGATCTTAGTCTTAAATTTATAGATCTAATCACATGCCATGTTGCCTTGTTGTTGGGAACTTGCTGCAAGCAAGGAAAACATGCTAACTCATGACTATGAGAGTTTGGTTTGAGGAATCATATGAGTCTGCTCCAGGCTGGGATAGTACATGACTCCAAAAAGCACTTTTAAGATTTCCTTTTATATTTATTCTTTAATGTTAACCAATAAAACTTTTGTTGGGTCAGATTTCCCTCCCTCATCCGTTAGAACAAGATGATCAATTCTAATGGAGAAGATTTACACAATAATCATTCATCATTATAATCTTTCATCCTAAGTTTAATAAAGTTCAATATACATGCGGGAATAATGACTGAGCTTTTTTTTTTTATCTCCTCCATGATAACATATTATTGCTACAAGCTTAACAACCACTGAAATATTCTTTTTTTAATCTCTTTTTCAGACATGGATTCAAACTTAATTCTCTTGATTTGTGCCCACGCATAGGAATTTCCCATCTTTTAACCGTTGCTATAGGACACACAAAATACGGCACAGGAAAATACTTTCAAAATGCGCCGGTGTTTTCAATTTTATGACGGCAAAGCTTATGATTGAAGGTCAGAGGGGCTGGGTGGAGGCCTGCGCTCCTTTCACTTTCAGTTGCTGTTGGCAGAGGTTTGAACATTATAATGATGTTTCTCAAGAATGAGTCAAAGCTTTCCTTAAGATGACCGCGTAAAAATATGTGGTAAATTTGTTACTATGTTAATTAAACCATTGTTGGGATCCTAACCAGGTAATAAATTGGACTGTGACAGTATTATTGATTGGTCCAGGATGCTTGACATCAGTAATGGCGTTCACGGTGAACTAAAAGTATAGATTTAAAAATGATAAGTATAAGACTTTGACCTGGGAAACTGGAGGAAGTGCCATGTTTGGCAGCATTGTTACCCGGTTTCCCACAAAATCTGAATTCCCTCTTTGTGGAGTTGTGTATTTTGCTCTGTGTACCAATGTTGCCACTACACATCTTTATGTGAGGCTGCTCCAACTCATGGCCTTGTCTGCCCCCGAGCTACATATAGTGAACAAACAGGCTGTTGCTGACTGTTGCCCCCAAACCTCCACAAGATAACATGGCCCATGCCATCTGCATTACCCCCAATTCCCCCTCTGCTCTCAGCCACGCACACATGCAAGCATCACTTTGTGCAGATTCACCACAGAGTGATGATTGTTTTTGGTTTATTTCATTTTTTTTCCAATCTGTCTCCTCCCCATTTTTCATTTCATAGCTTTCAGTCTGGAACACTGTTCCTCTTGTTGCTTCCTGACAGGATGACCTGGAAACAGCAGTGTTTACTCAAGGCAGTGGCATGTGTGGCTTGTTTCCTAACTTTTTCCCCTTTTTACATAGAGAAATGTTTTATTTCTTACAGTAAATTTCAGCGTGCATCTTTGCTTTACGGCATCTGGAGGCCGCCTGTGTGGATGAGTGTGCACTTGCATGCTAACAAGCCTCTGTAGTAGTCATGTGCTCGCTGACTTGTGGCCCTGGCCTGGGGATGACACTCTTCCATTCATGTGATCTGTGACAGCGGGCAGTGTTGGTGCCCTGTGGGCGCCCGGGGCTTCAGTGGGGCTGACATACATGTCTGGGACAGACTGACAGAAATAAACTCTAACCGAACAAACTCAGACTCTTGAACAGTCACTATAACCTCAATTAATGTTATAAAAATTTCAGCTCTTTAAAACTAACTATAGAAGTGTGCTTTTTATTCATTTTTATTGCATAGTTATCTGACAGAACACATAGCTTTATATGAGATTGAGTGCCTTAATCTAAGATCTATAAGATATGTCTGTGATATTTGCAAAAAGACAATCCAAGAAAGCATGATAAAACAAAACTAAATAGTTGCCGTAAGGAGGATGACTCTGATAAGTGTATTTTATTCCAATCCCTGATGACAATATGATTTATTGCCTGAATTAAAATCTTTCTTTATTCCCCACAGACTTAGCTCTCATATTTTTTTCCCACAGGATCCCGCTGTTCCCCTGAGTCACTTTAGAGTTTGACAGTTTACTTTATAGCCCTGGGAGTATTTTATTGATTCGCCTCCATCTGTATCCAAGTGTCAAGCAATTAGTTATCATCCATGCCTGTCCTTTCAGGAAAATTTCCTGCCTTGTCATGTTCTGTTTTCACAACGCGGATCACGGCTCGTCTCTATGACTGCAGCAGATCTGTTAGTCATTCACACATTTTTTATTCATTTGGTTTTCACTGTTTTAACCTTTAATTCTAGGCTAATATGTTTTGCTGTCCAATAAAAGTACTAGCCCACATTAAAAGGAAGTTCTTAAGCGAATAATCAAAGCACTGCGCTCAGATAAGCGATGCTAATGGTTTAGCCACTGTGGGGAACTCCATGAAATCTTTCTGTTATGTTATGATTTTTATTTAGTTTCAGTTGTGGAAAATCATGAAGCTGATAAATGAATTTCCATTAACTTATTATTAACTTGTTGATGCTTTCTTATAAATTATAGATGTATCTTTAGATCCTACTTATTGTAGAGGAATAGTTATAGGTTGTATGGTAAAAACTGTATCCTAAATTGTTAATTGTATTTCATGATGTTTTTTGTATCAAGTCACAAATAATTGGGGCACACAGCCCAGTTTGATTTGATATCTATTGTAATGATCATTGATTTTTCTTTAGAAAATGTCTTTCAATTTTTGGTCACCCTATTCCTGGTCATCCTGGAGAGATCGCCTTCACAATTTGTCAATTTGGTCAAAATGCATCTCATCGCCAGCAAGTTGTCACTCAAGGACAACATGATGTCACTGTTAGAAATTGAGAGCAACCCTTTTTTTGTTTTTGCAGCGTCTTACAACAGCCTAAAGGGCAGTAACTGTAGATAATTATTGTGGATCAGATTTACTGATGTATAGACAGATTTTTTACACCGCTCCTTTAGCCTGTATGACTATGCACTCTAAACCATACAAAAACACTTAAAGGCATTATGTTGAGAAAGAATTTGGAAAAGAAGGTTTCCACTTCTTGCTTTGAAATGAGGATATTTCCAGACTGTTGAGCAAGTTCTCAGTCACATTAAAACTGCACTTCAACAGCCGTATGTTGGAAATGATTCCTTATTTGCAAAATTAAGGTCAAGGACTGCTTGCATCCAGTGCATTTATCTAGCGCCTCCCATTGGAAAACTAATGGAGTCATTCAATTATGTCAGCTCGTTACAAGGCTCGAACCTTTTCATTCCTCAACAAACATATCAGAAGACAAGCCCTGTAATCATGTAAAAAGATGTTACTCTGTTTCAGTAGCCTACTTTCCAGTCTCCATCTAGCAAACAAAGGATTTTGCATAAACTACCACAATTAAGTAAAATAAGTTCTTTGGATGAAAATTCATGAATTCAAAAAATGTTTAAATCATCATGACTGGAGATTGCTCGACATTTTTGATGAAGTAAAATTGAACGAAACGGACTGCAGATAGATAGATAGATAGATAGATAGATAGATAGATAGATAGATAGA